AGTGCTTCTCTGCTTAAATAAGTTTGAGAGTAAACTCCAAAGTGGATATATTGCAATTTAATAGAAGTTCCTGCCTCTTGGCTTTTCTTTCTGACACATCCTTGTGGATACCCTGCTGCCAGCTCAAATGAAATTTGAGAGAACTGAGCTCCTCTTTTTCAGCTTCCTGCATGTTTGGTCACTGCTGATGCCAACATTGTCCTCCCAGCCACTCAGGCCTGTAATCTAGATATTGGTTTTTAACTCCATCCTCCTGATGGGTCCTTGTATTGAGGCTATATTCATGTCTTGCTGCCTTTCCCTGCAAGATCTGGTCTTTATTCTCTAACCAGCTTGCAAAAGCTCTCCCAGTCCCTTATTATATTGCTCATCAATGACTGTAATTTCTTCCTCCCTTGACAAGTGCAGCCTTGCTATATGTTGAGTTCTGCTAGGAATGTAAAAGTGAAATAGCCATTAGTGTGTAATAAGAAATTTCTATCCGTAATGAGTTATAAAATGTTCTTGCTGCTAATCTATGTGCTATGAAATTGTCAGATGAGTTTTTAAGAACATAAAAATGGCCCTACTGGGTCAGACCAAAGGTCCATCTAGCCCAGTATCCTGTCTTCCAATAGTGGCCAGTACCAGGTGCCCCAGAGGGAATGAACAGAACAGGTAATCATCAAGTGATCCATCCTCTGTCACTCATTCCCAGCTTCTGACAAACAGAGACAAGGAACACCATTTCTGCCCATCCTGGCTAATAGCCATTGATGGACCTATCCTCCATGAATTTATCTGGTTCTTTTTTGAACCCTTTTATGATCTTGGCCTTCACAACATCCTCTGGCAAGGAGTTCCACAGGTGGGCTGTGCGTTGTGTGAAGAAATACTTCCTTGTATTTGTTTTATACCCGCTGCCTATTAATTTAATTTGGTGATCCCTAGTTCCTGTGTTCTGTGAAGTAGTAAACAACACTTCCTTATCTACTTTCTCTACACCAATCATGATTTTGTAGACCTCAATCATATCTCCCCTTACCCATCTCTTTTCCAAGCTGAAAAGTCCCCATCTTATTAATCTCTACTCATATGGAAGCCATTTCATAGCCTTAATCATTTTTATTGCCCCTTTCTGAACCTTTTCCAATTCCAATGTATCTTTTTTTGAGATAGGGCGACAACATCTGCACACAGTCTTCAAAATGTGGGCGTACCATGGATTTATATAGAAGCAACATGATATTTTCTGTCCTGTTATCTATCCCTTTCTTAATTATTCCCAGCATTCTGTACGCATTTTTGACTGACGCTGCACACTGAGTGGATGTTTTTCAGAGAACTATCCACAATGACTCCAAGATCTTTCTTGAGTGGTAATAACTACTTTAAACTCCATCATTTTCTATGTATAGTATCCTGTTTTTTCCCTCTCTGCTCACTTTGCCTTCTCATGTCAGACTTTTCGATAAGACATACCATTTCCCCCATGGACGGGGGCAGGGAGGAGAACCTTGTTACACACCCCAAATCCTCCAGAGCTTCTGTCTCTATTCCACTCTGAGGCAGGCAGGTGGCTGGGCATGAAGAAGAGCTCTGAGAGCCAGTGGGGTTCATGCATAAGAGTTGGAGAAGCACTGTCATAAATCATCCTTGGTAACTGTTGAGCTGAACATTTGGTGCCCCTCTAGTGCTGTCAATTCCACAACCACTGAATAATGAGCTTTTGGTTAAATATTAGGGAAAATGTGATAAAATTTACCAGCTGCAGCTTAATCCTACTGCTATTTATTCTGTCTCTGTCTCTGTCTGTCTTATTTTGTCAAACAAGACAAATGCATTTATGTCTTTTAGCTTACCTTTTTACATATTTGTAAACTCTATTTCTGAAGTCCTGAAGTCAACTGTTTCTCCAGATTGAACATGCCCAGTTGTTTAACTTTTCTTCATGGGCCTTCTTTTCAAAGTCTTCTGTCACTTTTATGGATCTCCTTTTGTCCTCTAGCCAACTGTTCTATTAATGGGAATTTATTAAAAATGAGTTGATTTTTTTTTCCAACCTGTGTTCTGGAAACATGTGAAATGGAGGTGGGCAACTTTTTTTCTTTCCAAAATAAGAGAGCAAAGGTATCACTCAGGGTGGGGACAGCTTGGTGAGATAGCAACATGTCGGGCGTACAAAGGTCAAAGTGAAGAGCCTACTCGATTGATGGAGAGATGTTCCTCAAGTCATATCCCCTCAGAATTGGCAAGGCAGGGTGGCACATATTAGGCTAATTAACAAACTGCATCATAGAATCCACATGGGCATTTGCTCAGTTGAATTAGGTTTATCATCTTTAGGGAAAAAAAAAAAAGAGAGAGAATCCTGCAGAGGAAGACAGGAAAATGTGTATTTCCTGCTTACACAATCTTAAACTGGCCTGAGGAGAACACAAGGTGGATCTGTTTGGTTTCAGAGAATAAGTGACTATACCTATACTCCGTTTCCTCTTTTCACACTTGAATTAAATGTCATTGGAGAACAGTAATTACGTTAATTGCATGTCTCTTTTTTCTTTATTTTTGTTAGGAATGTTTATGTATTTCTACTTATGCATATGTTCTTGTTTACAGATAAATATTTCATCTCTCAGATGGAAGATAGATGGTGGATGGAGGGCAGGAAAATAAACCCCCAGGAATAATTTGCTTTTGTAACTTAATAAGCTATTTGTTGGAACATTCCAAATTGCTAAAACCAACAAAAATTTTGGTCTTGCAGATGTTATGCAGCTGCTTGTGGCGATAGCCAGATGATGGTTGAATGGATGCTGCCTGCCAAGTGCATGTTAGATTCTCAGCAGCACTTGTTGCGCTTTCTGCAATAAAAGTGACAGACGTGAAACTTTTTTCATGCAAATTGTTTGTGTTGTAAAGTGATGCCTCTGTAGCAATTCCAAGTAGTTGCATGCTTAGATGTTGAAGTAATTTGTGCTGGCTGTGAAAAAAGATCTGGGGGAGAGAGAGAGAAAGAGAGAGTACCCATGTACATGCACCTCACAAACTCGAGGTGCTGTAGAAAGGTTAGGTTTATTTGATTTTTAGCTTGGTTTTCATTCCACTCTCTTTGCATCATTCCAAGAAATAAACTAGGCAGTCGTCTTTTACCACTTGCATATAGTATCTCAGGCCAGATTAATTGTAAAGAGGGATAGCTCTGTGGTTTGAGCGTTGGCCTGCTAAACCCTGGGTTGTGAGTTCAATCCTTGAGGGGGTCATTTAGGGATCTGGGGCAAAAATAAGGGACGATACTTGGTCCTGCTGTGAAGGCAGGGGACTGAATTCGATAACCTTTCAAGGTCCCTTCCAGTTCTATGAGATAAGTATATCTCCAAATTAAATTACAAAAAAATTAAATTAAATTGGTCACATCAGCAGTCCTGTGGACTTCAGCAGGAATATATCCCTAAGTAAAACAAAAGTTTTGTCTAATTCCAATTTGTCTAATTCTGTCCAATTCACTGAAATGGAGGTTAAAAGTGCTTCTATCTGTAAAGCACGCTAACTGCGTTGCAATTTACAGTTCATAAAGGAATAGTGTGCTGCTCTTAATTTTGTTACACTGAAGTTAACTAAAAAGGATTACTCTGTTTTCTAAACCTATGTTGCTGAAGTTGCAAATAACGGAAGAATCTCGGCCTTATTTTGACACTAACAAACCTAAAATCGATCCTTTGGGAAAACTTGTATGCATCTTTGCTTGCCCCCTCCCACCTCACAGATTGAGTGGTGCCAGGTGAGCTGCTTGATGCCTGTCAGAGTGGGACACACCACTGAAGGGAATCCCTTCAATCAGTGAAATAATTGCCAAGGGTATGTTGTCTGAGAGCCAGTCCAACCTGTTGTTGACCTTGTTCAGCAGGGAACAGTGCTATCCCAAGAACTCATTCTAAGACCAGCACACTGTACAAATGTCTGATTGTCCAACAGCCTATTCTAGGACTGTCCAGTTCAGCTTTCCTTTTCCGCCTCCTTGGATTTGCAGCTGTTAAATAGGGGTGGTGTTGAATTGTAAAGTGACAAAGAAGGCTAAGCGATAGCATACCCGGAAGATCTACTGTGTCCCTATAAAGTTGATCTTCATGTCCAAGCATTAGCTTTGATGTGACAAGTCTGAACACTAGTAAAGACGAGTATACTTTGGGCTGTTAGCAGGTGGCTGTTTTCATTCAGTTTGGGCGACTGGTTATCTTCGGCCCTGATCGTGAAAAGACTTGCGTGCCTGGTTTACGAAAGGAGACGCCCTGCTAGCTTTGTGGTGCATGAAGTGAAGCTCAGGAGTCAGTCTTTGGTACTTTTGACCTCCTAGAGAGCAGAATTATGTTCATATTTCGCTTTCCGCGGAAATGAAACTGACACATATAGAATCTGATTAAAAGAAGTGCTCTTGCTTTTGGGCTTCATACATGGTCACTAATAATCCCATTGCATTCTTCGTAAGAACAGCGGTTTTAACCTGTGCTTCCTGGCCAAATTACAGCTGGGGCAACAACATTCTGCCTTATGTTTTTCTCCTTCTGTTTCAGTGACATACAGTAGAGCCCTGCGCGGGACTATTGTTTTAATCCCGCTCCCATCCTGCCCCGCAATTCCCCCTGCCATTCCCACCTGTTCCCGCATTGTTTGTTGAATTTTTTGTCCTGCTATTATGGCAGTGGGTCCTGGGCTCTACCCTGCAGCAGGACTGGAGTCCCAAGGATCCTGCAGAACCTGCTGCCATAACAGTAGGATGAAAATTCCTTCCTGCATTGTTTGTTGAATGGGAGTAGGTATTGTGGAGTGGGACAGAAGCAGGATTAAGAAAATAGCGTTCATGAAAGTTCATGTTGTGTTTTGATGCAGGAGGCCTGGGGTTTTTTTTTTTTAATCCTGCTCACTCATTGTTTGTTGAATTTTTATCCCGCTGTGATGGCAGTGGGTCCTGGATCCCAGTCCTACTGCAGGGCTCTAATACACAGTTTTTTCCTTTCCTCTAGCCTGCTGTGTTAATGTTGCTGTATCTCAGCCCAGAGGTTCCTGGATGTGGCTGGTGAACAAAAGGAATATGATTCCTATGGTCAGTGGGGTTGGTAAAGCTCTTTGGATGAAATGCGTTGCGTAAATGCCAGATGGCTACTTTGGGCATTGACGTCTCAACATTTGCGTGAGCACGGTATATTAGTGGGTGTTTATTTTTAAAGAGCCCCTGTGAATCCTGTTTCTCATAGTCCAATGAGAAAAAGAGCCTGACATTTGCAGGTATTTTAAATGTCATTTGACAGATGCCTTGCTGCACTACGTCAGCTTTCAGCAATAAGGATTTCGGAATACTGTTTTCATGTGTTTGCCAATTGCCTGGGTGCACAAGAAGAAAACAGATTTACAATACAATAAAAGCTAAGCTTTGCAAGGGTGAACTTCCCTCTGAAGTTAGTTTCCAGCCATGAGTTATTCGTGAAAGTGAAGGTGCTTATAAGAGGTCACATAAATAGTTTAATTTGACTGCAACATCACAATATTAATTAAGTGTATGATCTAATGTGGGCTTAAAATGTGCTTGAGTTGACTTTGTGGAGGCAGCAGATGTTGGTTAATGTTTCCCTTCAGTGTTGCATTGAACCTGTCATGTTCTTTGAAGTTAAACTGGGCAATTGGCTGTCAAATGATTTATTAGTGTATCCCTGCCCTCTCCTAGAAGTGCATAGGCAGTGCTTTCTTTAGCAGTGGGACACGAGTAAAAAATATATTACTGTTAGTTTGCCAGCAGCCACATAAACTTAGGCTATGTTCTCATTAGCTCTCTCAAACAAAGCAGAATCCAGGTCAAATGCTTGAATAGGATTCACCAAGGAAAACCCAGGTGCTGCAGGAACTTGTTTGTGGCTGCGTGAGTCACTTGCTATTAGACTATTGCTCTAGTATTGCATAGCATACGATTGACAGGCACTCAATAGTGCCTCTCTTTTAGATGAGCCATTAAATACAGGTCCTGAAATCTAGTGGCCCTTACAGTTAATGGGAGAAATTCAGAGGTGAAGTTCAAAGTTTACCCAGTGATGAGCTGCCAAAAATCTTAACAACAGGTTTCCCCCTCACCCCACGAGGGGGTCGTTGCCCACCCCCAACCCCGGGACCCCTGCCCCATCCACCCCCCCTCCCCAGTCCCCTGACTGCCCCCAGAACCAGGAGGAGGGTCTCGTGGGCCACCGTAGTGGGTGCCCATCCCACCCCTAAGAGCCAGAGGCACCTGCCGGGGGGGTGAGGTGGGGAGTCCTGGCGGTGCTTACCTGGGGCAGCTCCCAGGAAGCATCCGGCAGGTTCCTCTGGGCAGGGGAGTGAAACTAGGTGGGGAGCAGGGGGAGCGGCCGCTCCCCCACTGATCACATCAAAAGTGGCACGTTAGGTGCCGATTCCCTGGGTGCTCCGGGGCTGGAGCACCCACGGGGAAAATTTGGTGGGTGCAGAGCACCCACCGGCAGCTCCTCACCCCGTGCCTGGCCCCAGCTCACCTCCGCTCCACCTCCGCCTCCTCCCCTGAACCCACCGCCCGGCTCTGCTTCTCCGCGCCAGCTTCCCGCGAATCAGCTGTTCGGCGGGAAGCCTGGGAGGACTGAGAAGCAGGCGGCGGCTTCCCACTCAGGCCGAGGGTGGTGGAGGCGAGCTGGGGCGGGGAGCGGTTCCCCTGCGCGCCCCGGGTTACTTGCTGCGGCACGGGCAGCCCTCCTCGCCACCCCCACCCCCCTGCCCGAGCTCACCTCCACTCTGCCTCCCTGGGCCTGAGCGGGAAGCTGCCGCCTGCTTCTCAGCCTGCCCCGGCTTCCCGCGCCAACAGCTGATTTGTGGGAAGCCTCAGGGGGCGGAGAAGCCGAGCAGGGCGGCGCGTTCAGGGGAGGAGGCGGAGCGGAGGCGAGGTGAGCTGGGGCCGGGGGTGGGGCAGGGAGCTGCCAGTGGGTGCTCTGTATCCACCAAATTTTCCCCTTGGGTGCTCCAGGGCTGGAGCACCCATGGAGTCAGCGCCTAAGGTGCCACTTTTGGCCGGTTAAGTTTAGAAGCCCTTTTAAACTGGTTGTCCCTCGCGGAACAACCGGTTCTAAAAGGGCTTCTAAATTTAACAACCGGTTCTAGCGAACCGGCTCCAGCTCACCACTGGGTTTACCCATGAGTGAGTATGACAAAGGGAATCTGAGTTTTACACTTTGAAAAGCTAAGAAAAGAGAGTAGCAGGAAAAGCAACTAACAGGAGGGTGGAAGAAGTTGTTAAATTCCCTCCTGCCCGCCCACTTCCATTAGTATTGCTTTCTGGGCCCTGCTTGAAGAGTGTCTACTAGCTCAAATGCCTTACATTCACTTACAGGTGTGTAACTTATACCACCTTGTGCATCCCTCCTACAGCTGGCCCATCAAGTGGTGCTTGATTAATACACATTTATAACCAAGTATAGCTCAAAATTCAAGTGCAAAGTGAGTTGAAATCCTTAGGTGTGAAAGGTACTTCATGTCAGATACTGAGGTACGGTAATAGTCAGAAAAGGGAAGGCAGTAAGAAGGTGGTGCCATTCTCATCTTGGGGGCATTTAGTGTCACATTGGCTGAGATCAGAAGGGAAAAGATAAGGCTCTGCTGCTGGTTCTAGCACTGCAGAGCTGACACAACTCCGGAGAGAGAGTTGGTTTCTTTTCTGGTTATGACACGTACAGAATAAACAAGCAAGGTACAACTGCGAAATGTATGTTGGTAGGTGTACAAAGATTTCCAACTCAAGGCTGATCTACCCTGGGAACATCTATCTGCATAGCTATGTCTCTCAGGAGTGTGAAAAAGCCACAACCTTGAGAGATGGGGCTGGTGGGATAGGCAGGAAGGGATAGGAGGAACCTCACTAAATGAAGCACATGATGTTGGGGGGCTGAAATGGGTTTGTAAATCTCTCTTCAGCAGTTCTGGATCCAGCCTGAATCCAGAATCTTAGAGAGTGGTTTGTATCCAAACAGTCGCAAAGTTGGGGTGTTGTGACCTAGAGTTCCGGTTTGAACCTGACTCTGAGCCAATTTGATATGGGGTCAGTGATAGCTAAACTTCACAAATCCTTTTTTGTAAAGTCACTTTTTCTGAGTAAAATCAAAAGACCGGTAACTTGCCAGGAACACACTTAACTTTCAAATTCAGGTTTCGAGGTGTGTGGGGTCGCTCTTGCAGTTGGCCAGCAGGTGGGAGAGAGCCACTGCGTGCACGATGCAAGAGGATGTTGACAGAGCAGGGCCCCAAAAGCACAAGGCCTTTGGGTACATCTACAGAGCAACAGAAACACCTGCATCTGGCCTGGGCCAGCTGACTCAGGCTGCGGGGCGGTAAAATTGCTGTGTAGATGCCTGAGCTCTGGGACCAGTTGAATACCAGTATAAATGTATACTTGTCTTCCAGTATACTTGTCTTCCAGTATAAATGTAGCCTGTGGGCTTGTATACACTTAGTTAGAACTTCACCCATTGGTGTAGGTACTCCACCCCCCTGAGAGGCAGTAGCTCTGTTGGGGGCACAAGCCCTCCTGGCGACATAGCACTGTCTACACCGGGGATTAGGTTAATATAATATTCCACACCCCTGAGTGTCGCAGTTATACTGACATAAGTTGATCGTGTAGACCAAGCCGAAGAGAGTGCAGGCTTGGCAAATGCCCAAGCCAAAACTGAGTTGCAAATTATATTGCATTGTATTGTATGGAAAAAATTGTTGACTGTTGAATTTCACATCCAATATAGAAATTTAAGGGTGAGTTCAAGTCTATATAGTTATAAAGGTTACAGTACCATTATATTGTTTTATAAAAACTCGCCAACACAGAAAATAAGCTACTCCTATTCATTTCCAAATGCAGTATTCATCCAAAAGTATCAGTTTATTGGTGTTTTTTTACAGAACTTTAAGAACAATACAATTCACATCAATTTTTAAAAATATCTTTTGTCTGTTAACTGTCTCTCTAACTTGACTTGAAGCATTTATTCCTTATACGTTGTCTGCCACTATTATTTTGTGCATTGTTTACATCTTTAAGGTTGTTTCAGCTCTTCTCAGATTTTGAGAGTAAATTGGTTTCTAAAGACCACTAAAAGTGTAGGCAAAAATGCAGGCCGTTAAACACGTGTAGGTCATAGCTGCATGTGGAAGTGCAAAGTGTTTGAGTTTTATGGCAGTTGCACAGCTGATGAGACAGTGTGTACGTTAATGAATGCACAGCAGAATAAAACCCTTTAGTAACCGCCAGTGCTTTGACCTAAACTCTTACAATCCTGTTTAGATGTGAGGCCAGGGGAAACCTTGAATTTATTTACAGAGCTGCCGCATAACACCTTTTGGCGGTTGGTTGTGTCAGCATTTCCATTATAAACCCCATATTAGAGTTCTTATAACTCAGCTGTATAAATGTGAGCTGGACTTAAATTTGGAATAAAATATCTTGGTTTGGAAGTGAGCATTAAGGCTGGCGAGCTAGCCTGCTGGCCGTGCCAATAATATTGCTGCGTGAAGGGCTATAATAATGATTTGGCTCTTTGCTTCCAAAAAGTGCCTACAAGAAGCTTATTTAGCAAAGATCTGTTGTTTGCATATGTATCTTGCAGTGACTTTTTATTCCTGCAAAAGTAATGGGCCAGATCCTGAGCTGCACCAGAGCCTGTGTGACTCCTATGCACTGCTGTTTTGAGGAGGAGGGAGTGGGTAACACAAAGGTGATTTTAAATAGCTTTTCTTTGGTTCTGGGACTGGCTAGGTGCAACCTCAGTTCTGCTCTAAATGACTCCAGATACAACAGTCCCCAAAGGCCATTCCAGTAGCAGAAGATTTCTGGAGCATAGATGTATCCTAACTAAACATTGGGATGAGGTAGGTGTTAATGATGGTGGGTTATATTGGCCTTACACTGCCTATGGATTTTCCTACACCTGGAGAGTCCCAGAAGAGCTGGATACAATAGATGTCAACTTGAGTGGTACAAAGCAGATGGAAGGGAACAGTGACTTGAACCCAGGTCTCCTTCCTCCCAGGTGAGTGCACTAACTACCAAGCTCTAAGGTGGCCTAGAAGTGGGCTGTGTCTCTCTCCTGTTGAAATTGTTTCCAACTTGTGTAAATAACTAAAGTTGAACACCTTCAACAGGAGAGGCTAAGAGAGAACCAACCCAGGATTCCCCAGCCTGGTGGTTTCTGGGCTCATGTCCCTTCTCCAGGGCAGGGATTTGAACTTTAATCTCCTACATCCCGGGCAAATGCCCTAACCACTACTCTATTAGGTATAAGGGGGAATTGCTGTCCACCTACTATTTTGTGAATGGCAATCCCCTGTGAATTTAACCTGAACTTTCATCTGTTGTCAAATTTGCAAATAGCTTTGGCTGACCCAAAACTGCAAATAAAACTATAGGTCTGAAAAACTTGGCCCGGCTTTAGTTGTAGATGGAGGGGAAGCACATTACTGAGCAGACAGGAGATTGCTCATTCTGTGGCGCTGCTGAGCCCTTGCTTATTTTACATAATGCTCAGGGCCCCTGAATGTAAGGGCGTTTCTGGACAGTTTGTCGTGCGCTCGCTGGGGTGTAAATCTACCCTAACCTAGCCTGCCACTCATTAAGTGCCCATGTGGACCATGCTGCCATCCACTAAAAGTTGCTTTCTGCACATTGACCTACTCCGCTTAGAAATGGGAGTAGGTCAGTGCACACTAGTGAACTTTTGTTCCACGATTGTAAGCTCCACATAGGCAGTTGTGCAGCACAGTAGTGCATGGTAAATTTACACACTGGCTTGCCCCATGCTAACAGTTCATCTAGACGAGCCCTCAGATGAAAACTGAAGAAAATTCAGGGAAGAGCGGTAAATGGTTAAAGAAATATGGAGAGAGCTAAAACTCATGTAGCCTGTCCACTGTCAAAAGTACTTGAGGGGTAGAAGTCAAGGAGGAAGAGGAGTTTAGGGTAGACCAGTGAGTTAGGCTTGGTCTGTTGTACATACTTAATTGAAAAATCCACACTCCTGAGAGACCTAGTTATACCGACCTTCACCTCCCATGTAGACCGTGCTATTTCAGTGGGAGAGCTTCTCCCGCCTGTGTAGTTACTGCCTCTTGTGGAGGTGGAGTTAAGCCAATGGGGATCTCTCTCCTGTCGCCTTAGGGCATCTTCACCAGATGCGGCACAGTTGCACTGATGTAAATTTGTAGTGGAGACCTACCCTTAAAAGTAGGAGTAATGGTAGAAATTGTGAGCAATGGAAACTTTAGGCTGAATATTGTGTATTGGGGGACGGGGGTGGGGGGCAGAGGGTGTTAGACTGTGGCATAGTTTTCTAGGAAAAGGAGTAAAATTCATTACACAAGTCATTTGAAACTAGACTGGGCAAAATATTCAAGAATATACTATAGGGAACAATCCCACATTGACAGGGAGGATGGAAACGATAACAGGTATTTTCCATCTCTATTTTCTATTTTGCTTTTTTGTCTTCTCAATAACTTCCAATTACATATTTCAGTCTCTAATTCACTTGTTATTTCATGAATGCTGCCTGTCTGTCCTTATCTATTTGAAGGAGGAGACATTGGCCTGATTCTGATCACACTGGTGGACAATAAATGATTACATTATTAACTAACCCTTTTTTACTGATTAATCGGTAAAAATCATTGAGGCAAATCTGATCCACTGCCACTGATATATACACTTTATCTAGAAAGAGTCATCTATCTAGGAAAATGTTTTTTTTAAAACACACAATACGGAGATGACGAGAGACTTTTCTCTTGCAAATTTAGCATATTGCATGTTGCAAAATGAATAGGGTACCCGATAGTCTATATAAACTTTAAGAAAGCAAAACAAACGTTTAGCTTCTGTTGTGATGGTTTTGATTTGTTGGTTTAAAAAAAACTGTACTGAAGACATTTTCTGTAATGTTACTTATGAAGTTGGTCCCAAATCAAGAACTAGTTTTTGTTAAATCTGGACTTAGAAAACATTTTAGAGCAATATTCTTACTTCTGGGAAAATTGGCATTATGTTGGATTTAAAAAAAATCGCCTCCCTCTTTAAATACTTGTTTTAGTCTTTTAGGAATCAAACAGTAGCTAAATCTGAAATTTGATGCATGATTTTGCTGTACATGTTAGAAAGTTCTCTGAACACCCCTGTTTGGCAAAGACTAGATCTTTCCTGCAAGCCATGAAGTTAGTCTCTGTTGAGGGGCCAAAGAAAGATTTGCTGATGGGGGGCTGGTGTCAGCAATGATTGGCCTCAGCAGCTGATGGATCTCTCTCTCTCTCCAGTCCTAGATTAAATGACCTATCCAGACTATATGTGGTGTTCTAAGTCTAAGTGGTGGGACATTTTCACTTTTTTCTGTTTCAGATCCTTTCTGCAGTTTGTGATCAGTATGCTTTTTATTAAACGTAATATGGAATGGGAAATATAACTTGGTTTAACAGCTGCAATTCAGAGTTGGTGGAAACGTGCTCTGTATTGTAAATACAGCACTGAAACTAGTAACCCAAGGTTTCAGAGAGAGATTTATGGAAGTACCTAGCTTGATCTGTTGTTTCAATTCCACATACTCTTTCTTCTATGCATTTACATATGGCGTGGGTGCGATTGCACTTATAAAAGCAATGCTTTTAAAACAAAACGAAACAAAAACATTACACGGCTTGGGTTAGGGTTTCCTTCCTCCTAAGGTCTTCGAGTTTCTTGCATTGTTTTCCGTTTCCCTTGCTGATCAGCTCTATTGTATAGCTGATAATTAGTCTTCTGTCATGTAACTATAAATTAGGTACGTTCTGGTTTGACTCTGTATTTAGGGTTGAGAGCTGTACATATTATATACAGCTATAGCCTTTCAAAATCTACAAATGAAAAGTGCTATACAAAATGTAAGAATTATGTATCTCTATTAATGAGATCAGACCTGGCCAAACATTCACAGGTGTGTCTCAATCTCCCTCCTCCCGCAAAAAGTCATCATTTGTAATGGGCACATCTAGGGAAGTAAGACTCCTCTCTGTCACACCCTGTTTGAGGCTGGGGATTAGTAATGCTTTTCAGCAGGTTTTGGGCGAGGAGCTAGAGCTTGTCAATGCTGGCTAGGATGGGCAGGAAGCTGTACGTACTTTTGTCTGGTTAGTGTATAACTTGTGTAGTCATACTTGTCTTCACACATAATGGGCTCTTGAGCCAATATTTTACCGTAACTTGGTTTCTTACTGTACGATGCAGTGAGTGGAGGAGTGTGAGCAAAAGGTTTGTCGACACAGCGATTTCTTGACGAATTACAGCTCCCCTTTTGACGATTGATGCAAAATTTGTTTCTGTACAAATAGCAATTCAGCTGCATATAATAATTTCAAAACTTTGTTGGAACAAGCAGGTTTTCTTTATCCCTTGTCTGCTTCCCCCCCATCTGTCGCCACTCAATATTCTATCTTTCACTCTCCATGTTTCCTTTTAGTTTGAATTGAGGAAAAAAACAGTTGTGCTGGCCTGCAATTTTTTGAGATCGTTGAGTCCAAATCTGATTCAATGGCACATCTCCCTTAATCCCTCCATCAACAAAACGGTTTGGTACCATGGTACAAGCACACACTGTGTACATCTTTTTAAAAAAGGCTTTCAGTGTATATTTTAAGTGCTGTTGGTATGGCAGTACTTCTAACACCAGACATCTTGGTATTTAAGAGACTGGCTTTCTTGACCCATTGCAGGTGTCAAACCTGACAATTTTCACATATTTTTAAAAATTTAATTTCCTGAGGGATTTCCCTTTTTGAAAGAGCTGTGTATTGTTTTTATGAATCAGGCAGAGTCTGGAGTGTCAACACAGAATTTTTTTAAGATGCAAGTAATTGTCGTCTTCTACAGTATGCTACCTCTTTTTAAATGATCTCTCAAGGTCTACAGATTGAGGACTCTCAAACATAGACCGCTTCTTGATAGCGGTTGTTTGGTGGGCAGCTCTTCTGTCAGTCACAGATATGTACCTCACTTGCCCTCCCCTTTGGATTCTGAAATGGAAGTTGCTCCCTGATTTCTAAGCATGGGTGTCTTCAAGTCCTAAATTCCTTTCTCTGTGAAACAGATTTCTCTAGGTGTGCCAGACAGTGGTAAATATGACAATAGTCCCCTTTATTATTTGATCATAAAGACAGAATTCAGTTATATAATAAATAACCTTATACGGAGAGGTGGTGCTCTCCTGTAAGAGGTGTGTGCCTATATCATCTATGTTATGTGTGTGTTTATGAATAAAAAATGTAGGTAGCTATGCATATAACTGTGTGTGTCCTTTATATTCAAAGAATGCTAACATGACCCATAGAAGAATGCTACTTACTCATTGCATTTGTGACATTGCAGTTAAGCGATGGTGGCAAGGCAGCTAGAGCCCAGGTGGGGATAGGTGATGTGGTTCTCACCATTGATGGGACAAGTACAGACGGGATGACTCATCTGGAAGCACAAAACAAGATCAAGGCCTGTACAGGCAACTTGAACATGAATCTGCAAAGGTAAGATTTTTTTTCTTTCATATCTGCTGCTTTAAGAAGGAACACCTCTAAATCATTTAGCTAAATACGTGCATTTGCTGACTATAATTGAAGGATAATGGTATTGTAGGCCTAGATGTATTCATTGAATCTAGCAAATGGTTAGATACAAATGTGAGCAGATGGCTGCATTTCCTCACCTGCGGTCGGACATACAGTAGAACTTCAGAGTTATGAACTGACTGCTCAACCACACACCTCATCTGGAACCAGAAGTACACAATCAGCAGCAGTAGACATCCCGTCCTCTCCTCCACCTCCCCAAAAAAAGAAAAAAAGAAAAAAACAAAAACCAAACACAGTACAGTACTGTGTTTAAATATAAACTACAAAAAAAAAAAGGGAAAGTTTGAAAAAAAGACAAGGTAAGCAAATTGTTTCTATGCTTCTTTCATTTAAATTAAGATGCTTTAAAGCAGTCTTTTTCTTCTGCATAGTAAAGTTTCAAAGCTATAGGAAATGAGTGTTCAACTGTAAACTTTTGAAAGCACAGCCATAAAGTTTTGTTCAGAGTTGCAAACATTTCAGAATTATGAACAACCTCCGTTGCTGGGGAGTTCATAACGCTGACGTTCTATTGTAGTTGCCACTGTGTTAAGCCGAACCTCTCTCCCTTCTTGGAGCTTTGGTTTTGTTCATAATATCTAACTGTATGGGATATGAGCTGAACTTTTGTTTTCCCAGGCTTGCCTGCTCCTGCAGCTCCTCCTTCTGACTGTTCGGCCCACATCCTAGATTTTCTTTTTCTCCAGTCTCTTCTTCCTCCCTTATGTCTGGCTGGAAGAAAAAGCTGCTTGTTTCAGCAGTTCTGTTTACAGTTAGCTTTCCCCCTAAAACTCCACTGGTGCTAGCAGCAACAGTGAGACCAATGTGTCTCCTAGAAGTCCTGCTGTGAGTGGCGTTAGATGCAACAGTCGTTAAAACGCTAGAGGGCAGCCAACACTATTGGACCCACAATTATTAGCACTAGTGAAGAATTTTAGGGGGGGAAGAAAAGTGTAGAGAACGCCTTTGAGTCAGCAGAACATTTTCCAGCTTGATCAGCATCTGCAAATGATGTTTCAGGCAAACAGTGCCAGCCTGTTACAGATGGTTTCTCAGATGTTTGCAATCTTATGTTTATATTGTGAGTCTACACCAATGAGCATTCAAGTAAAAAGCTTTCTGAACAAACTGCAGTTGGAAGGCCGATAATCCTGTGCAGTAATGTAATCTTTTAAAAAGATAAAGCCTTTTTAAAGGAAATAGTCCAGTCTTGCTCTTTTAAACAAGTACTCAGGGCAGGCTATGAAGAAGTGACAGCTGATAAAACAATGTTATTCATGTTGGATCTGAAGCTGTTTTGCTTGAGAAGTTGATGGCCAGGGCAAATAGTAAGAACAAGGGGTAAAATAAAGATAACCAGAGACTATATAAGTGGATTTGGGGACGAATACTCACTGGTTTATATTTCTTGGATTATAAACTTAATTTCAGTTGAAGGAGAAGGTTTTTCTTGAGGGAAAGCTCAGGACTCTAACAGAGTCTGGATCCCTTTCCAGAAATTTTGCAGGAGTAGCAAAAGAATAGGGGGTCATATCACACAGAATTTTTATGATTTTATCAGTACATATTGTTTCTCTTTGAAAGTCTCCATTAGGAGTCCTGAACTCTTACATCATTCTGATGCATCAGGTAGAAGCAGTAGTCAGATTGTGTCAAAGATTCTGATGCTTTTAGGACGCTGCGATGCTTTCTCTCCTGTTTTTCTCATAGTTCCTGTTTTGCATCTCTGCTAGTCAGTCCCTGAAACCTATTCCTACTCTGTCATTCCTGGAATAAGCTGTGTTTCAAAGCATATCAGCAAGTAAACTGAGGAAAAGAGGACAGTACTCTGAACTATGAAGTGAAGTTCTCAGAAGCCATCCATTAATGATGTATCCAAGGAGTAGACAGAGGCAGTACTGGTGACACAGAAGTCTCCCAAAATGTTTCTCTATTCCTAAATGTCTATGGTATTGCTGCAATCACTGATAATCAGCCTGGATTCACTAATTCAGTGGACTTTCTGGAAGCTAAAGCTCAGGCTAGCCTCTCCACTCCTAAGATAAGGAGGCCTAAGGGAATTCCCAAAACTATAGCTACTGTTCTGACTTTCAGGGTCATCCTGTCACATATACCAAAATTGGAATGATACAGAAAAGATTAGCATGGCCGCTGCGCAAGGATGACATGCAAATTAGTGAAGTGTTCCATAACTGGCATCAAACTCTGTTTTGCACCAGGGGAGGTTTCTTGCCTATGCCACTGATGCTTTGGCTTGCATTTCATAAGAACATAAGAACGGCCAAACTGGGTCAGACCAAAGGTCCATCTGGCCCAGTATCCTGTCTTCCGACAGTGGCCAATGCCAGGTGCCCCAGAGGGAATGAACAGAAGAGGTGATCATCAAGTGGTCTATCCCGTCGCCTATTCATAGCTTCTGGCAAACAGAGAGTAGGGGTACCATCCCTGCCCATCCTGGCTACTAGCCATTGATGGACCTATTCTCCATGAATTTATCTAGTTCGCGTATTCTGAGATTAACGATAGCTGGGTTGTCTGTTGATGCAGGTTGATATAATCCTTCTAAATTTTAAAATAATTGAAGTTGGGAATCCTTCCCAAGATGAAACTGCTTGTACTCGAGATATTTCATGAGGAGATAATTTACTGTCTGTGTAATCCACCCAACAAAGTGGAATGTCTTCTTTGGGGCTGGCAATCTTCAAAAGTTACATTGGTCCTGGTGTTGCCATTTTTAATTTGAATGCCAAAATATTGGGCAACTCTCAAAAACCCAGACTCAGTTCCTGCTCTTAAGAGTTTATAATTTTAAATTTCCAAATCTGCACGGAGAATTGATAGATCCCTGAGCCCGTGTGGAGTCCCATTTGAAGTAATTGGGGCTCTACTTGGATGCAGGGGTGTGGTTCTTAGTGCAGGGTTGGCGTCTGTATGTTATTAAACAATGAGGTAAGGTGTATAAACGGAGCAGAGAGGGGGGAGAGAGACTAAAACATTACAGTAAGCTAGCATGGTAACTCCTAAAATACATCACTAGTGCTGTTAACATTTTTCCACACCCTCATTCCTCATAGGCAAGATGGAAGATGTAAGATTTTTTTTGTGTGTGGGTTGACTCAGGGGAGAGAGGTTAGGAGGAATTGAATGACGCAAGGGAGGTGGCTTGCCCAACTGATAGGGAAGGGCATTTTATGGATGGTGGTTCATTGCTCCTTTTTAATGCTGTTGAAATCACGGTGGCTTTGTGATATGCAGAAAGGGATGTCAGGCAAAGGAGATATTCTAGTAAATAAAGTATGAAACTTGATGCTTTTTTATAAAATACTGTTTCCGTTTATTACTGTTGTCAGAAATGCTTCTGCTGCTGTTTGACTACCATAACAAAACTTTGAGTTGTCATTGCAATTGTGTGGTGCATGTTTCTAAGGTTAGACATACTTAAATGAAAAATCAAGTCCTTTTTTCTGTTGAACTGTAGACCTGGTACTGCACTGTGATAGACCCAGGCCAGTTGGGTACAACAGAGTAGCCCTATTGGGATCCGGGAAGTGGGCGGGCAACGCTCGCCCACTGCTAAAGGATCTCCCCCCAGCCTAAGAGGGGGATCCACAGGACCTGGACACCAAATGATTACGGGGGACAACTAATGAAATAACAGGGACAGGAGTGTGTTCAAAGGCACTGCTCCTGAAAGGCGTCAAGGGAGTCAGTGGACGCCGCCCAGAGGAACTCTGCCTGGTGCAGCAGAGTAGCAGAAGGCAGATATACTGGCCCCTGGATTAGCAGTTTTCTTTTCCCTGACTGACCAGAACAGGGGCTGCTTAAGGCTAATGAGAACACCTGACTCCAATTAACCTGCAAAGAGTCAGGTGAGGCCATTAAGTTAATGTGAACGCCTGACTCTAATTAAGGCCCTTCTGATACTATAAAAGGACTCACTTTAGTCAGGCTGAGGTGAGCCAGAGGAGAGGAAGTGCGGCTGAAGGGCTGGGTAATGAAGACACTCTCAAGCCACTGGTAAGGGAGCCCTAAGGTAAGGGTGAAGAAGAGAGAAGTGGGAGAGCTGTGGGGAAGTGGCCCAGGGAAATGTAGCAACTCTGGCAGTGAAAGGTGGGCTGCCAACAGCTGCTGCCGTTAGGGTCCCTGGGTCGGAACCCGTAGTAGAGGGCGGGCGCGGGTTCCCCCAACTCACCACTGCAGAAACACCTCCTGGGAGGGGAGGATTAGCCTCCTGTCCTGACAGGGGCCTAAACTATTATGGAAGAAGCCCGTAGGAACAACAGAGACTGTGGGAGTTCTCACCAACCTCCTTGCTGGCTTATGATGAAAGGGGCTCAGTAGACTGTAACCCTGGCCCTAGAGAGAGAAGGGCTACATGGAGGGTCTCAGTGAGCCTCTGAGGCTAGCATAAACTGCCTGGAAGCACGAGACCCATGGGGACAAGGCCGGAGCTCTGCCACAGCACATAAATTATGAAATTTAATGTAATATGTGTATTAAGCACTCTCCATGTGTGAGACGCTATCTGTGCGGACAGGAAGACAGAGTTCATGTCCAGAGAACGTGTAAGGCCTTGTCCTGCGTTGGGATCTGCTAGCATGGACTCTGAAGTCAATGGGACTGGGGTCCGTGACGGTGTGAGGAGGCCTTAGGAAAATGCAATCTTCAAATACAGGTTATTAATGTGTCTCTCTCATTTGGACTTTCTTCAAGTCTTAACAACTTATTATTTAATGCTTACTTTCAATGCACAGTTAGTGTTCATTATGTTCTGTGGAAAACCAGTTCAATTGGCAATTTGCATTCAAATGTTTGCAGAAGAGTATGCCTCTTTCGGGAAAATAAATTACTTTATTTTTCAGAATAAAATAATACCATATATTGGTCAAATGTGTAATTGGTTGCTATCCTGGGAA